GTATTTTATTTTGTTTTATTTTTTTGGCAAGTTAAGGAGACTGAAAACAATTTTGAGCTTCAGCATGTGTCTTGCACGTAAGAGTGACCAAAATATTTTTCACAGAGTGTAGAATCCCATGTGTGGTCATGGCAACTTTCAATTTATTTTAATTGTTTCTCAGGAATTGGTGTCCAAAGGCTACTTGTGTATTATGTTGTTATTTTTAATGCCCCTGGATTGCTAAAATTGAAATGATGGCAACAGTTGACGCCTCAAGCCAAACTAGGTGACATGGGACTGTGCACCATCTGTACTTGTTTATAGGTCATTTCCCTAATGTGATTTTCAACACACTGTTTATTGGTCATTATTATTATATGCCATGTAACTCCTCTTGATCTTCGTTCTTTCCACAATATGATGTCTCTCACAGAGAAGGAATACAAGCAGTTTCTCAATAAAAAGTCTGTTCTGTCTGTGTTTTTTTTTTTTCTTCCAATATATGCACTTCAGCAAAATAAGTCCATGCTCAATAATCCAAGTATACAATCCAACAATTTTCAGTCAGGTCATCTGGACAGTTTCTTTTTTTTGTGCTGAAACGTTTCACCTTCCATCCGGAAGGCTTCATCAGTCAAGGAAACACACAACACAAAACTGATTCTTCCCCTAACAGCTTACTCCAAAGTGGAACAAACCAGTTCTGTTGGTGCTAAGATGGTCTCTTTGGCACGCCGCTTCCTCTGGTGCCGGCCCTCTTCCTCGTCGACAGTCATGTTGATCTGATTCAAAACCAACAAAGTCCATGCTCAATAATCCATGTATACAATCCAACAATTGTCAGTCAGGTCATCTGGACAGTTTCTTTTTTTCTTTCTGAAATGTTTCACCTTCCATCCGGAAGGCTTCATCAGTCAAGGAAACACAACACAAAACTGATTTTCCCCCCAAACAGCTTACTCCAAAGTAGAACAAACCAGTTATGTTGGTGCTAAGATGGTGTCTTTGGCACGCTCCCTCCTTTGGTGCCGCCCCTCTTCCTCGTCGGCAGTCATGTCAAACTGGTTCAAAACCAAAAATATTCAGATAACCTGACTGAAAATTGTTGGATTGTATACCTGGAGTATTGAGCATGGACTTTTTTTGTTTTTGAACCAGTTTGACATGACTGTCGACGAGGAAGAGGGCTGGCACCAAAGGAGGGGGCATGCCAAAGACACCATCTTAGCACCAACATAACTGGTTTGTTCCACTTTGGAGTAAGCTGTTTGGATGAAGAATTACTTTTGTGTTGTGCGTTTCCTTGACTGATGAAGCCTTCCGGATGGAAGGTGAAACGTTTCAGCAAAAAAAAAAAAGAAGAAACTGTCCAGATGACCTGACTGAAAATTGTTGGATATGCACTTCAACTTTTTTATTACTATTTTCTAATCTCAGTTTGTCTTTAACATAAAACTACAACAGAATACATAAAAAACAAAAAACAAACTTCATCCTTTTGTTAACCTTGCTAAGGACCAACACTGTCCTCTTAGAGCTTGGCTCTGGAACGGACCATCATGAGGTTGTATATATCATGAGGTCTACATATGCTTCTGTGATAACAGCAACAATGCAGAAAATATTTGAATAACGTATGCTCCCTTTATAAATACATTTTCCAGGTATCTCTATGCATTTTTTAGGGACGCACGATATTGGATTTTTGGCCGATATCTGATATGCCGATATGTTAAAATTAATTTGGCCGATTACCGATACCAATATTTTACATATACTTTCCTTTGTCAGAACATGGCTCTCTTATTTAGGTGTATTTGCTACACAAATTGTGTAACAGCTGTAAGAGCTGGTGACATATATTCTGTAACAGCCATATGCATAGCACTTTAACTTGTATTAAATGAAAAGTGTTGAATATTATTTATTAGCATTAGTCACCTGCGATGCTGTCTCACTTGTGGAGGCTTGTTCCAGGTTCCTAGCTTCAGTGTGGGATCCTCTGCACTCCTGTGCATGAAGGACAGTCTTTTTAAGTAAGACTAATCATGCTAACGGGGCTAACACTTGACGTCCAAATGTCTGTGGTAAAACTCACCCAGTGCTATCAGCTATTAGCTTTTCAATGACGTCGGAAAAGACGGCTTGTAACTCAAGTGAGGCTACGTCGGAAAAATATCTCCGATTGGGGACGATGTAGCGAGGCTCATCGTAGTCCAAAAATCTTTGGAATCCAATATCTCAATGAAAAAAAAACTTCCACACCGTTGACATTTTGACTTTTTTCTCTCCTCCGTGATCAGATCAGGTAGATGTGCGTAACGTCATCTCGTTATGCTGGCACTACAGGCATCCTTGTCATTGGGTTGTCATTCAAAAACAGCGCCTTTTATATTGGTGATTTTATTTTAATGGAATAGCCAATGTCCGATTTTTAACTTTAATGCTAATATCGACCAATACCATGCCGATAATATCGTGCATCCCTACATTATTTTCAACAAGACCGTGCACATGATGTAGATTTTATAAAGGCTTAGTTGCAAAAGCTGAACTGCTGTTCATTGTAAAGTTCACTCTGTAGAGAAAGATGAAAAAAAAAAGTGCTGTAGTTCCGCACCATTGACGGCGTGTTTACGGAAAGAATGGGACAAAAAACCTGAAAACATCATTGGTTGCCAATAAGCTATTTTTTTTTTTTTGAATTTGTTGTAGTCCTGAAATGTAAGATTGGATGTATAATAACATTTTAAATTAAGTTGAGGAAATAAAATAAGAAATATCTTACATTTTTACAGTCTTCAAAGAAATAAAAAATAAGATAGTATCTATTTTTATTATTGCATTGTCCATCCTTTTCCTTTTGAACCACTGTAAACTGAAACATAAATGTGCACAATTACTAAGAGGAGGATCAACCATGGCATACATTCAAACTGTCTTTGTTTGTTGGCATTTGGTGTATCTGTACTATGTAACTTTCCAATTTATTTTTTATGCTTTTACCTGCAGATGCTGTAATTTGAGACTAAATTAAATTGCAGGTTTTATGGGCTGCATTTAACCATCACAATGAAGCGCACAGATCTTACAACTCTTTCTCTTTCCATCGCTGTAGGAAATAAAATCAAAACTGTATTCTTTGTGAATCAGTTGCATGGAATAAATCATTTATTTTTTTGGTCTTTGTATGTATATTTACAGGTCTTGTACTTCCATACATCTTTGCTGATACCCAGCACACTGGTTGTTCTGGAGCTGGTGTCATTATCCCCCAAACTGGACGGCTCCCATCAGTGTTTGGGAAGAGGCTTCATTGTCCTGGAGCTTTTTACTAACAGGCCAGAGGGTCTGGCTACTGAAGGGGACAGAAGGTGATTACTGCCTTTTTAATTAGCATGTACACAGATTAATTAGCTTTTACATAAAGAGATTACTATGAGACATGTGCATTTTATAATAAAATGGAATTGTTCTGGTACTTATTGTTCAAACAGATTTAATTTTACATACTATTTCAGTTTCAGAACTTCCATGCAACATGCTAGGATACTTTTGTTAATAGACACTTATATGTGTAAGCTGTTGAAGGCTGGCTGGGTCTGCTGTAGACTTACTTGAACTAAACATATTTTACATGTTAAAAGCAACACATTTATTAATATGAAGATTTTAACAGGACAGTTAGGAGTTACAATCTGAATCACTTGCCTTTTCACATATTTAGCTGAAATCTTGTTTACTATTTGTAAATTTGGTTAATACTTAAAACTCTTACTGGATTGTTGCATCTTTTTTCATTTCAGATATTTTTATTGAAAGTGGTAAACCCCATATTAGTTTTAATCTCAATAATAATGATTGTTTTGTTTTATTTTTCTGCCACGCCGACTTCTGCTTACAAAATAATTTGCCAGGTTTCCACTTTAATGTCATTCTGCTGCCTCTCCAGTCAGTCTCTCATTTGTGGCGCTGACTCCAAATCCACCCACTTAGGCTGCAGCTGGCAAAAGCAACTATTTCACCACAAATAGACTAAATTGGGTTCCTGTTCTGAACAGCAACCTCTGTTATTTTTGCATGGAAATCATCTAAACCAGCTCTTCACCTTCTGCATGTTCAGGTTGGCGTCACCCTCAGCGCTCATTGGGTTTTGAAGAGAAAGCAGCAGCTGTAGGTCAGCTCCATTCTATGAGGGTGGAGACTGATTTAATTGAAAAACTGTTTACTGACACAAACAGCAATAACCATAAAACTAACATGTGCAGGCAGGAAGATGCAATAAATTCAAGACAGAGAAAATGTTGATTAGGCTGAACTTTAAAATGTCCTAATTGAATAGTGTGAGCACCACCTCTAAAAATCAGGCCACACTAAAACTGACCAAATTGACTTGCAGCCCTACTTATTAAAGTTGTTTTCACTCTATCTCAGGCTGGATTTACACCATGGATCACCCCGAGGCCTGCTCCACCCCCTGCTCAAGGACTCTGCTGATTGTAAGGATCAATTTTTGTACTCAATTTTTCTTCCATTATTGCAGCATCAAAGCTGAGAGGACTACATTTGTTTAAGGGGTTTAGCAGTAATTATTTCTAAAGGAATAAGGCTACCTGTCTTTTTTCTGAGAAAACTATGACAAATACATCATCTTAAGCTTTATATGATGACCAAAGTGCTGATCTTTGTGCTGTCAGTCTCAGCAACAATTACATTTAAAGATCACCGTAATGAGTTTATATCACCCGGTGTAACCTTTTGTAGACTAGAACTCATACTGGAGGTAAACCCATTTCATCATTGTTGTTTTACACACTGTTTATTTACAGTTTTGACAATTACACAAGCAACTACACGTCACGTTATGTTTAAAATACTGAAAAGTGTTGGGACACAAAAAAAGCTAATTCAAAGAACAGTTTAGTTCTAGAATTGCGCCACTCAAGGTGGCTGCATGTTGGAGTAGCTCTGTTACTTTTATTATGAGATTTTGCTTTTGGAAACTTTAATTCCTCTTTTTCTGGATGTAAATCACATTTTTTTGGATGATTGTTTCCTCTGGTGTCAGATGCTGTGCAGCTGGAAGGATTTTTACTGAAACCTTTTTAGTTTTGGACATTTGTTATGATGCGTAACCATGGCAACAATATGTTTTTTACAACTGGGAGCAGCTGATTAACATCTCAAAGCTCAAGTAATACCTCAACTACAGTCCCAAATCCCAAATGAGTTGTAAAGGAGGCGCCGTGGATGCATCTCCGTCTACCTGGTGGCGGTGCTCGAGTACCTGACCGCCCAACTCCTGGAGCTGGCGGGAAACGCGGCTTGTGACAACAAGAAGACCAGGATCATCCCCAGGCACCTGCATCTGGCTGTCTGCAATGATGAGGAGCTCAACAAGCTGCTGAGAGGAGTGACCATCGCTCTGGGAAGAGTTCTGCTCAACATTCAGGTGGTCCTGCTGCCCAGGAGGACTGAGAGTCTCACCAAGTCCAAGTAAACAAATCAGCGTCTGTGGCCAGTTTCTTCAGATTAACTATGATGGACCACCACAAGAGATCCTTCCTGCCCACAGCCATCAGCATCTAGAACAACTCTTTAATAAAACCAGGAGAATGAGCTACAACAACATTTAATTTCCCTCTGGGATTAATAAAGTATTTTTGAATTGAATTGAATTGTTATGATGCGTAACCATGGCAACAAGGCAGTCTTCTACAACCAACCGCAGCTGATTACCATCTCAAAAACTTAACTAATATCTCAACTACAGCCTCAAATCTCAAATGAGTTGAAAGGATGTTCTGTGGACGCATTCTCATCTACCTGCCGGCTGTGCTGAGATCCTGGAACTAGCAGGAAACACGGCTCATGACAGCAGAAGGACAGGATCGTCCCTCGGCACCTACATTGGCTGTCCGCAGCGACGAGGAGCTCGGCAGTCTGCTGGGAGGAGTGGCCATCGCACTGGGAGGAGTTCTGCCCGTTATTCGGGAAATCCTACAGCCCGGGGGAACCGAGAGGCCAGCCGAGTCTGGGTGGATGGATCGGACGGCATCTGCAGCCAGTTTCTTAGGATCCACTGTGGGATGGACCTTTACAAGAGATCCTTCCTGCCTACAGCCATCAGCATCTATAACATCTCTTAGTGAAATGAGGATAACGAGTTACAACGACAAATAATTTCCCTTTGGGATTAATAAAGTATTTTTGAATTGAATTGAATTGAATTAAAATAACATACTGTGCGTAACAACATCATTTTAAAATCTTAGTGGTGAGAAACTCAAACTCATTGATTCCTTATGTGGAGTATTTTTATTAATTTATTTTTGACAAAAAACATACAGCATAGACATACAAAATATAGGAGATATTATAAAGAAGAGAAAAGAGTTAAATTACTGAGAGTGTGCGGCATCACTCAGGTCTGCATGGTCATTTGGTCAAAGCTTGCATATTTTCTAATGAAAGGAAGCTATCATCTTTATTTGTGCTCTAATGAAATGGAATGCAAGGGCCGTAGTTCTGCAAATACACTGCTGTAAATATCTGTAAAGAAAAAGTAAAAAATGTTTCTATTTATGAAAGAATATGAAGTTTATTTTTGTGTACTCTGTTAGCATTTTTACAACTTTTCTCCTTTGATCTACTGTGTGAGTGTGTATGAATATGTCTATATAAATAAGTATATAAATAATTTTATTATGAAGTATTTGTATGCATTTGAACATTTATGTTTATTGCCTGCCCACTTACTGAAGACAAAATAGGATTGATTGATTTAACTTTCGTCTGAGACGGATCTCTCTGTTCGACAGTCCTTTGGGATTTTACAGATAGATTATCAATTTCAGAGCGAAAAAGATTTTTGTCCTCTCCTTAACAATGAAGCAGAAAAACAGGATAAAAAAACAGCCACTGTTCAAAACCACCCAATCCAACAACATCTGTAAGGAGAGCTTCACTTGGTTTATGTCATGAAACATTAATTCAAATAGAATTAGCAATTTTTTATTTTATTTGTTACAATAATATAACCAAAGAAGCTGGTAAATAACTTGTAGAATACATTAGTCTTTTCACTTTCATGCTTTTGGGTAAAAGCTGTTTTTTGGGAAGACATCAGTATCTTTTGGATTGCCCTTGAATATGCGATTCACTTTTGTTTAAAGTTTGAGAACAAATTGTAAATTATTGATATGCTATTGAAGCTCCTAGTTGGTCTAAAATACCTCCTTGGTTGGCTTAAAACCAAAGCTATGAATTACAAAACACTTTAGCGTCTCACCGTATGAATAACATTGTGCCAGTGAGAGGCTGAGTTCCTGTCTTGGCTATCATGTCACATGAATATTAGAGAAGCTGCTCTCAAATGGACTCTTATGCTCTCTGAATTATTCACCATAAGCCTGTTGTTCAGAGGAATGTTGCCTCTCTGTTTTACGAGCCGTGCCGCTGCTTCTTTTGTTCTTTCCCCTTTTTATGGTCGGTTTTTCATTTGTTTTTTAACACTTACATTCTCCTCCACTGTGACAGGGGCACAGGCTTTGGATCTGCTGTGTGATGCGAATGAGGACTACTTTGTAGAATGAAACAAATATTTAAAAATGGCATCACGCTAAAGGAAAAAATTTATCTTTGTAGTGGTCATTTATTCCTAAATGTGATGAAGAATCCTAATTACTGTTTTCACTGCGCTTACTTAATTAATGCCTACTGTCAAAAGGAGAACAGCGCTTTTTCTTGTGACTAAATGTATGTGTGTGCATGTGTGTTTGTGTGTTCGTTAGCAAAATATTTCATGAACCACTTGATTAATTTTTTTATGAAACTTCCAGGAAATAATCATTGAAAGTACATATATATCTTCTTAGCTTTTGGAGTCACTCCAGTTCAAGATGGCCACCACAGCTAACAACAGTAACCAGTTTCAAAATGGCTGTAACTCAGTAAATGTGACATATATTGGTAACAGCTGAGAGCCATTTACACCGCACACTCTGAGGCTGACATCTTGCAACATCGCATGAGGTCGAGCTTACGGTTATTTTCAAGGATCGACCAAAATGGCTACAACTTGTCATTCGTCAACATAACAAGATTTTGGTTTAAAACTCTGGCATAAAGTGCAGTGGGGGATATGCAAGCCTTCAAGGAATACTAAGATAAGATACAATAAGACAAGATAGAACTTTATTGATCCTGCAGGAAATTGGTGTTCCAGAGTTTCAGTACAAAGCAACATACACAAGGCATCACACAAGATATATATTAAAAAAAATAACAGAGAATATAAAAATACTAACAACGTTCTAAACAGGTCAGGTGCAGACAGAAACATTAAAGTGTTTATTGTGGTGCAGGATTAATTTTATTGCCTTATGTGTAGAATGGGGGAGGAGTTGAAAAGTTTGATAGCCACAGGGAGGAAGGACTTCCTGTGTTGTTCGTGGAGCACCTCGGTGGTCTCGGTCTACGGCTGAAGGTGCTGTGGTAAGAGTCCATTGTGTCATGCAGGGGGTGTGACGTGTTGTTCAGGATCTGGAGCAGTTTCCTCAGCATCCTCTGCTCAGACACCTCTGTCAGAGTCTGCAGGTCCACTCCCAGAACTGAGCTTGAGTTTCTCGAGTCTGTTGGCATCCACTTTCTTCACCCTGCTGCCCCAGCACAAAGCATAGAAGAAGACGCTGGCGACCACAGATTGGTAAAACATCTGCAGCATGGTCCTGCAGATGTTAAAGGACCTGAGTCTCCTCAGAAAAAAAACGAGACTCTGCCCTTTCTTTTAGAGGGCGTTGGTGTTAGCTGTCCAGTCCAGTTTATTGTCTAAGTGGACCCCAGGTACTTGTAGCAGTCCAGTGTCCACCCTATGTCCCTTTTCCATTAGTAACGGTACGGCCCGACTGGACCCGACTCAGCCCGGTTCCAAGGTTTTTCCATTAGTAACGGTACATAGAACCTGTCCCTATTTTCAGGATCCTTGGCTCTGTGGTTCTGACCGGGCTGAGTAGGTACAGAAATGTGACATCAGAACACTGTCGGTCACTGATTGGTCGGTGGCGGAGTCACTGGATCTTTCAGAAACTTTTCAAAACATTGATCCGCCATTTGCAATTTCTTGGACCGGAGCAGCACCTGGACATATTTTAAAGATTTTAAAAACAATAATGACAACACCTTGGTCTAATGCTGGCGTTTTTTGTGCTTTGTGGCCAACAACAAAATTCAGAGCAAGCTGGATGGAGCTCTGCTGATCTTCCCGGTCCTCTACCCTGGAGCCTCGGAGCCAGGCTGGGCAGGGCGTCATCTCCCCGGCTCCGCGTTCCGCTGGTCACCGTGGAAGATCCTCCGTGGGCTCGGGGCTTGGGCTCCGGATCCCGACCTTGCGTGCTCAGAGCTCCGCTGGTCACCGAGAAGGATCATACGAGCTGGTGACTCACAGAAGGCCGTTGCCAGACCCCGGCCTCACGTAATCATGAAGGCCGAACCCCGATCC